TGGGATTTTATTTCGTTAATGTTTGGTCTTGCATTCTCGTTCGGCTTCATCATTCTTTTTATCATGTCAATGCAAAGAACATTTTTCCATGTTTTATTGATGTTTTCAAAACTTTGCAATATAAAAACAATCATATTGCTTCCTAAATTGGTCGTTTCTTCTTTGAGATTGTATCTTTTGGATAATATGAAAAAGAAAATACATCCTAGATCGAAAATATCTGACAAAATGCCAGGAGTTCGTGAAAAACGGATTGTATTCCCATTTAGAGATTGGGCATTATGAAAATTTAAAAGTTTAATCAGTAACCGACCATTTTTAAAGACGACACGTACATTGAATACATTCAAATTCAGCGAATAAATATCTTTTTTGTGAATAAATCCTACAACTGATGTCAACTGTTGCATAAGATTCTCTTCCAGACCAGCGATTTGATTAATTTTATTAAAGACAAACTGTTCCAATGATACACCAAACTCATCCATTATGATGTAGAAATAGAAATTATCTTTGAAAGTATTAAAATATCGCAGAATATTTTCATGATCATCCAAAATCTTTAATCTCTCAATTTCATTTGTATTGTAAAGCGAATGAAGAATTCTTTTAATTGTCACAGTTCGTTTTCCGAAATTTCCTTTAAAGTAATCGATGCCATCAAAATTTGTAATTTTCGTCCCCAATTTGTATGAAACATTTATCGTATCATTTGATTTTTCATTTAAATGATTTGTTGGGGATTCATTTCTAGCATGAGTCACCGTAATTTCAGCTTGCACTCCGATTGATCTTTTAATAACTCTTTGCTGATTTTCCACTGAACGATCAGTTTCACTTGAACTATTTAAATTCTCAATATCACTTGACGCATTTTTCTCCCCACAACAAAAACAGAAACACAAAATTTCTTTCAACTTTCCCATCTTATGACTGATCACAAACAATTTTGAATTGGAACTAAATGAAGGAAACGTTGATGTTGATTTGCTTTGTGTTCTCAAATATCGACTGAATATTCTTCTTAGATTATGAAGGTTTATGTGAAATGGAATTTAAAGTGTATTGGTGACGATAAGTAATTGCTTTACTTATGGTTTAAGTGTGCGAAACGATTAAAAGTGCAGAAATTCAGGTACAAAAATATTGTCGGAAGTTTTTCTATTTGTTGAAAGTTCAAGTTATCTTCATTGAAGGTCAGTTAATAAATTAGTTAGTTTCACTTGAACTATTTAAATTCTCAATATCTCTTGACGCATTTTTCTCCCCACAACAAAAACAGAAACACAAAATTTCTTTCAACTTTCCCATCTTATGACTGATCACAAACAATTACGGAGGCCCCACCCTAGGGTGACGGGCAACCGTATTGGATTTGACCAAAAATTTCAAAAAATTTTCTTTGCTTAATTACACTTAAAATGGGTTGAAACGTCGAGAAAAGTGGAAAAAAACGAAAAAAAAATTTCTGTCCGCTTTCGGGTCTGTGGGGATGGATGGATGTAGACACTCGCATTTCTACATTTCTTAACCGATTTGAAAAATTTCTTCACCAATGTGTTTTAAATACGAATAGAAAGTTTCTATCAAATTATGGGGTTCGTACCTTCAGTATTTCAGGTACCTGCCATACAAAGTTGCCCTTTTCC